CTCTCTGTCTCTCTGTCTCTCTGTATGCTGTAGTCTGTTTATGTAGTACTTTTGGCCAGAATGGGAGGTATGGGCGGTATGGGCGGTCTAGGTCATGTCAGCCTAGCCCCCTCCAGGGCGGTCGTGTTGATTTCCCTCTATTTGTTGTGGCCCCTTCTCTCATTCCCCGGGCGGTTTGATATCGTTCGATTGCGGGCAGGAAAACAACAAGAACAAGAATACGGTCGAATGAGGTGCTTTGGCTCTTGGGCCGCAACAACAATCAAATTGGACGGAACAAAGAAAGTGGTCCCTGTCCAGGCTGGCCGGTACTCAACCCGCAGACGCCAAATCTCGGAGGGCTGGGTTGAGAAGAGACTAGGCGCATCAACTAACAAACAAGCCTGGAAGCCAGCAGAAGTGGCTACGCCGTATGCGAGTTAGGTTCAGGTTCAGGCTCGCTGCTGGGGTCGATCGCCGTGCGGGTAACGGGTAACGAGCTGTCGCTGCCCCGGAATGAAGGATTGGTGGTGGTGGTGGTGGTGTCTTCTAAACTCGAATTGAATTTAGGGAGAACCGGGAAAGAAAAGGAGGTTGTGGGATCTGTGAGTATGTCCTGGTCTTGTTGCCTCTTTGAAGTATGATACTCAGTGTATTGAGAGGATTTCTCAAAAGAAAGGTCAAGATGGAGCTTGTGTTAGACCATCTAGGTGAGTCGATATTCAATTCATATAGAACATGCACCCTCTCTCTCTGGTTGCTCTTCAATCTTGCTGCTTGTCCAAGTCCAAGTCCAAGTTGAAGCTGGCGATGTGCTACTGGTACTGCTGTCGGTCCCCTTCTCCAAATGACGGATGAGGTCACATCGCCCCTCGCTTCCAACAACGGCACTGCATATAGAAACCGGCTTTTCCGTCAGCGCAAGCACGGCACGCGGGCTCACCCCTTTCAGCCTGGAAGCTGAGATGCACGGAGATTCGATTTCCTGTCCAGCTGGACATGATCTACAATAGTACAGCTGAAAAGCCGGCTTGTGCCCTGATCGCGGCGGCCCCGTCCCCAATTCAAATGTCAGATCTCAACGGTCGCCCCCCTCCCCCCTTCTCTCCACTCATCGTATCCTGCTTGGTCTTTGCCGTGCGCCACGCCACCACTGCGATCTTCGCCCCCTTGCCATCGTCATTTTCTGGGGTAGAAAGCGAGTGTTCTTGATTCACTGCACGGGCTGTAAAAAAGCTGCCCCTGGCTCACTGAACCGTGGTGCCGATGACTGAATAGCACTCAGCATTCTTGAAGGAACCTACCTTCTTTGATGTGATTGGTCAGACTCGAAGAACTGAAAAATCACAACTCGTAGACACCATTATAAGCCTCTAAAATTGAGAATATCATATCGAACAAAAATGAGCGAGGCGAGGTGGTTCTTCTTTTCATCCAGAAAACGACTTGCTATAACCACCTAGGTAGCCTTAAATAAGTATTTGAAGAATACCATCGACATCTGACTTGCGGTACATCAGCATGCCCCCAACCGGATCATCGTGCCTCCCCCTTCCCGACAGCCCGATGGACGACCTCGTCTCTACAACACCCCATAGGCTAGATGAGAGCGTTTGAGCTGCTTTGGCTGAAAGTGCCTATGGTAGGTGGAGGCGCGAGAGTACGTCGTTGATCTTGCCCTCCATGGACAGAAACTTCTCAGAAACTCTCAGTCGAGGGCATATAAATCGGGTCTCAGGGGTCTGTTCAAGATGGATCACATAATATTAAAGAAGGATGTATAGAATATCACCCTCATTGCATTCTAAGCTAAGCACTTGATTCTCATTAATCTGATCCTCATTCTATTCTCTATCTACTGTTACTACCCCACGGGTGTCATCAGCGCTCTACATCCTGCGACTACACCACCACAATGGCAAGCCAGAAGAAGACCGAGTCCGCCCTGCACAACCTCTTCAAGAACTACCCCGCGTCCTTCTCCTCGGGCGCCGACGAGTGGGAGGCCTTCCTGCTGTCCAGCGCGACGGGACGTGCTGGAGAGGAGCACGATCGTGTGCGGCGGCTCCTCGCAGAAGCTGGTGGAGTCTGTGCAGAGGCGGATCGAGAGGGAGCGGGGGTGGGTTGGGACGGAGGCGAGGGTGATTGATGCGCAGGTGTGTCTGTCTGTCTTGGGGTGTAATGGGCTTACCAGGGATGTTGCTGATGCTTTTCGTTTTGAGGGGGGGCCAAGAACACCGGGCTGCCTGCGCAGAGCTTCACGCACGTCGTGGCCAATATCATGTTCCACACTGTGCCTGACTCGAAGGCTGCTCTACAAGGCGAGTCTGGCCCCCTTTTCCTTGACGACCACACCACGAGCCATCCTATCCTCCCACAAGACCGACTCCCCACCGCTATCTAGAGAGCGCCCGTCTCCTCCAGCCGGGCGGCACGCTCGCCTTCACGACGTGGCACAGCGCCAGCCCGGGCTGGATCTCGGAGATGCGCGAAGAGGCGTTCGCGTCGCTCCCCGTTCGACGCGCCCTTCCGCGTGTCGATGCAGACGACGGCGTGGGGCGACTGGGCGAACCCGAACTGGGGTGCGCGAGACGCTCGCCGCCGGACTCGGATCTCGGCCTGGGGCTGGGGCTGGACGACGTCACGGTGGACGTGCTGGCGCACCTGGGCCGTGTGAGCAGCGCGGACGACTTCGTGCGCGGCTTCAGCATGATCCTCAGCTGGGTGGTGAGCGCGGGGTGGAGCGAGGAGCTGCGGAGGGAGCATCCGCTTGAGGAGGTGCAGGGCTTGCTGAGGGGGTTTTTTGGAAAAGAAGTACGGCGGGAGGGGATGGGATTTGACGTGGTTGTCGATCGTTGCGAGTGCGCGTATGAAAGGGGCTTGACTGGAGGGTGGAAGGGGGAGGTGGTCATGTCTGTTCTCGTGATATTCACAGGAGAATAGCACGACCTTTGGAGGATTTTCGAATGGTGGTGACATGGCCTGGCTGTTGCGAGGCATGCATGCCTAGGTACCTTATCATGTAGGACCTACCTGACTAGGCATTCAGTTGAAGAAATCGGTGATGAAATGTGTGTATGTCTTCACATCCACATTCGAATTTCCATCCGTCCGCATGGTTGAGCAATTGCCTTATCGGGCCTTCAGGTCACATCAATCTCATCACAATCACAATCACATGGAATCCATATCGCATGAAATCTCATGCTGTCGGCGGGGCTCTTGCTGAGTGATGCTCGTCGAGGGTCCCATGAAAACACAGCGGAAGAAAGAGACAGAGACGAAGAGACACTGAGGGAAGCCGTGCTTTTTCCATGTCTCAGATCTTGCATAGACAATGTGGTGTTTCAACTGTCAGAAATCGTCGGGTGTGTCCCGGGCGCCCTTTACCGGTCGCCAGTCAACGTTTGGGGGCGTCGTCTAACGTCTAGGTGGGGCTTCTAGAAGAAGACCCGTCCAAGCAGAAAAGAGAAAGACTTCCGCTTGGTTGCTGACTGACTGAATTGCTTTTTTGTTTTTGTGTGAAAAGAGTAATAAAAAAAAGGTCTTGATGGAGCCTTGACCTGTCAGAATCAAGCATGTTAGCAAGCATCATGAAAATGAAGAGCTGGTCCATTGCATGGTATTATGTCACAGTTCATATAACGGCCCCAGTGAACGAGAGGCCCCGAGCGGCGGGGGGGTTATTGTTTCGCAATCCCTGGAAATCCACGCGATGTACTATGGCAATGTTAAGAATAATCTTATTAGAGTTACAGTAGAGTACAGTACCGGTACACTGCTGCGGGAGGTTATCGCGGCCCGCCAGAAGCTAAGATAGTCAAGTCCAGTTAGAGTAGCTGAGTAGTAACGCGACTCATGCACGAGGCATCGGGCTCTTCCGGCCAGTTCACACTACCGGTATCCTGTTGATCATCTGGCGTGCCTGCGTGCTGTGATGGCGATCTTCCCTCTGCAGGCTTGGTGTTTGGTGAGGGGCTTGCTAGGGCCACAGTTCACTGATCAGTGTTAAGGGCTTGGTCATTTTGATTTGTAGTCTCTAGGTATGGCTTGAAGAGAGTGTAGAGTAGCATGATAAGCCCCCAAGTTTCTATCGAGATGCGTGGGATCATAACTATGACAATTGACACGCGAAGAGATAGTGCTTGCTTCTTTTTCTTATCACCTCTTGTAGTTACAATATGGCAGCATTTTGACATTTCGCTTTTCTTATCAGAAGAGGAGGGGGGGAGAGAGAGCGCCCCCTTTCCCAGCCAAGCGGGAATTCTGAAGTGTCGTTTTCCCACGGGAATGGGACCTTGTAGAGACTTGGGACGCTTTAGGCTTAGCGCCGACGGTCGCTAATTTGAAACAGCCGAAGTCGTCGAAATCAATGCCCAAAACAAGAAGAAGAAGAAGAAGGAGGAAAATGCAAGTCTTTGTGAGATGGCAAGTTTCTCTAGCGTCACTTTGGTGAAGACTCATAGTATGAAGCACGGAAACGGAATCATAACTTGGAGGTTCCTAGAGGAGACTGATTATGTTTGTTTCCTAATAAGTACTCTAGCGGTAGAGGGTCAGCTAGGATGGAAACGCTAGGTGCCGGCATCAGTCCCGACCGACCAAGCGACACGACGAGGGAAACAAAACGGAAAGCCGTTAGTAGAGTAGAGCAGCCTTCACCTCTTTTGGTGGAGATTGGCATCCCATCCCCCCCATTCTGTTCTATTACTCTCTTTTTTTGTTAGCGTCGAGGTCCCCTTTTCTTTCTCTTTGTGTGTCTGCGGCCCCAGGGCCCCTCTTCAGGCTTTGTTGGTCCTCCTGTGCTCGTACCGCTCGACGACTCCTTTTGAACCCACCCATCATATCGGTACCCAACCCCCAGTCTAATCCCCAAAGAGAAAAGAGTGTCAAGCGAGGAAAAGCCAGAAAGGAAGCCAAGGGACATCAGCCAGTACAGCACTGTATGTGTAGTGCAATGCAGTACATTGCAGTGCAGTGTAGTGTTGTGTAGGGTTGGGTAGTGTAGGGTAGGAGGAAGACATACCTAGATACTTGTTGAGCGGCGCTTTCACCGACGTTTCTCACCGTGCCATTCATAACGTTAACCCGACCATTTCTTTGACCCGTCCTGGACGTATGTACCTCGAATGCCTCGAGCATAATAGACTACCGGTACCTAGGTAAGTATCTAAACACAAAGATATAGTTTACATAGCGACAATACAATGCTATAGAACAGATAGATAGATAGATGCATGCATGCATGCATGCAGCTGCACCCCGTAAATACAGCACGCCGTCATGGTACTGTAGCGCAGCCGGGCGACGACGAGGACGACGACGATAACAATAATTCCATGCATGGAAGCATTCCTCCTACTGCTGCCCCTTCCCGACCCCCCGACCCCCCCAGTCTCCCTCTCCCTAGTCTAGTGTAATGTAATGTAATGTACATCGAGTAACACATCAAGAGAAAGAGAAAGAGAGAAAGAGAGAGGGCGGGCGCTATTCTGATCGACATGCCCCCGACGGCCCAGCGGCGGCACATGTTCTACCAGGTCTACACTGCTTGTACACTGCAGAATAGTGCAGAATAGTGCTGTAGGGGCATGTAGTCCGACACCATTCCCCACCCCACAACCGCCCACCATCAAGCCAAGCCAACCCACCGCTTGCAGTCCGACTCTTGAGTGAGTAGGTACACGAGGTACAGTACTGTGCCGGTAGTCTCTATCTTAGGTCTTACCTAGGTACTCTCTCCCCTTTTGGCCAACCACATCTCCGCGAGCGGCCAGTCGGGGCGACGACCTGTTTCAAAGTCCCCTCTTGACACTCCTACGCAGACACACACACACATACTGCATGCTACATGCTACCGCTACCACAACTACTAACTCCTACTATTACAATTACCCGCCGCTAACAATCGACTTCTTCTCTCCCCCCTAAGAGGCCCCCCGTACCGTCTGTACATACAAGACTCGACTTGATCCTACGAAAGGAAGGAAACAAAGACAAACAACGACTACCTACCACGAAGCTCGGAGTCAAAGGATATTCGGAAGGAACGAAGCGAGGAAAGAGGAGCCTGGGGTCAGACTGGTGGCAACCCCCCCCCCCCCCCCCCCC